AGTGGGTAGCCGGTTTGGAGTTGGCTGATCCAGTGTCGTTCCTTACTGAGGCGTAGCTGGTCACCCCAACACTTGCAGTGGTCAATGGGTACCACCTGCATGTCATATCACGTATGGATTGGCACTTTGAAATTTCTTGCTATATGCAGGTCCGGGCGTTTCTGTTTGATGGAACATCCGTAAAGCCGTGCACATTTTGTTCAATCAGATCATTTATTTTACGAAACGATGATTGCGTCACTAATAGTTAATCGATTTTCCCAATATAATTATTAAACGACATGAAGTATCATATCATTAAATCCCTAAGCGGATTGTGAGTGGTATGACAGTATACCATGACGTTAACCAAATACAGACATGTTTCTAGAGTCGGATGTCAATTAAACCACAGAACAAGGAAAGACAATCGGGCGGGGTTCCTGGTCAGGTCTGTGTTGACAAAAAACTAGTCCATATCAGCTGTATATATACCAAATAACAAGCCCAACACTACCTAGTATTGAAAATCACTTTAGATATCCTTATAACCCATGTATAATTAAAGTAAATGACCAGACAAACGACTGTCAATGTTAATTACAAGACTTTGTTCTATCTAACGTATAGGGTATGGCCACCGAGGTAAAATCCCGTTCGATTGAAGAAGAAATATAGATCCATTCATCGCTCGATGCTTTGGCCACCTCTTGCAATTCCTTGGTTGGTTGGTTGCCAGGTTTTCTGTCTCTGTTTCCGGCCATCGTCTCGCGGACGAACGTCAGCGTTCTGACGACGTGAGGGGCGACCTGCTCACGCTGACTGGTTGGTGGCCAGGTTTTCTGTCTCTGTGACTTCTCCTGTTTCCGACCATCGTCTCACCGACGAACGTCAGCGTTCTGACGACGTAAGGGGAGACCTGCTCACGCTGGTTGGTTGGTGGCCAGGTTTTCTGTCTCTGTGACTTCTCCTGTTTCCGACCATCGTCTCACCGACGAACGTCAGCGTTCTGACGACGTGAGGGGAGACCTGCTCACGCTGGTTGGTTGGTGGCCAGGTTTTCCGACCATCGTCTCACCGACGAACTCAGCGTGACTTGCTCTCGCTGTTGGTGGCCAGGTTTTCTGTCTCTGTGACCATCGTCTCACCGACGAACGTCAGCGTTCTGACGACGTAAGGGGAGACCTGCTCACGCTGGTTGGTTGGTGGCCAGGTTTTCTGTCTCTGTGACTTCTCCTGTTTCCGACCATCGTCTCACCGACGAACGTCAGCGTTCTGACGACGTGAGGGGAGACCTACTCACGCTGGTTGGTTGGTGGCCAGGTTTTCTGTCTCTGTGACTTCTCCTGTTTCCGACCATCGTCTCACCGACGAACGTCAGCGTTCTGACGACGTGAGGGGTGACCTGCTCTCGCTGGTTGGTGGCCAGGTTTTCTGTCTCTGTGACTTCTCCTGTTTCCGACCATCGTCTCACCGACGAACGTCAGTGTTCTGACGACGTGAGGGGTGACCTGCTCTCGCTGGTTGGTGGCGAGGTTTCCTGTCTCTGTGACTTCTCCTGTTTCCGACCATCGTCTCACCGACGAACGTCAGCGTTCTGACGACGTGAGGGGTGACCTGCTCTCGCTGGTTGGTGGCGAGGTTTCCTGTCTCTGTGACTTCTCCTGTTTCCGACCATCGTCTCACCGACGAACGTCAGCGTTCTGACGACGTGAGGGGCGACTTGCTCACGCTGGTTGGTTGGTGGCCAGGTTTTCTGTCTCTGTGACTTCTCCTGTTTCCGACCATCGTCTCACCGACGGACGTCAGCGTTCTGACGACGTGAGGGGCGACTTGCTCACGCTGGTTGGTTGGTGGCCAGGTTTTCTGTCTCTGTTTCCGACCATCGTCTCACCGACTAACGTCAGCGTTCTGACGACGTGAGGGGTGACCTGCTCTCGCTGGTTGGTGGCGAGGTTTCCTGTCTCTGTGACTCCCTCTGTTTCCGGGCATCGTCTGACCGACGGCTGATTTTTCTCAAGCTTAGCCCAGTCCAGAACCAACCCAATTTTAGACAAATCATGTGATCTCGATATCCATTATAACACCTAGTGTACACTGCTCGGTGTCAAGTTTCAAGTTTTATCATACTGCATCTAGGTACAAGTACATTGTATATGTAATTAAATCATCAAAATTCGTATATGTAATGTACAAGGTGTTAAGAATTGTAGAACCAACGTCCTTGGAAATTTATTTGTATATATTTACACTTCTCGTAGTTATTGCTAACCTTTGTTATTCTTTTTATCGTTGTACATGGATAATGATTCTTTGTCTCTCCGTCTTTCTCTCTCTGTCTCTCCGTTTCTCTCTCTCTGTCTCTCCGTGTTTCTCTCTCTGTCTCTCCATCTCTGTCTCTCTCTTTCTCTCTATCTATCTCTCCGTCTTTTTCTCTCTCTCTGTCTCTCTCTCTGTCTCTGTGTCTCTCTGTGTGTGTCTCTCCCCCTCTCTCCCTCTGTCTCTGTCTCTCTCTGTGTCTCTCTGTGTGTGTCTCTCTGTTTGTGTATGTCTCTCTTTCTCTCCCCCCCCACCACCCCCCTCTCTCTCTCTGTCTCTGTGTGTCTCTCCGTGTGTCAGTCTGTCTGTGTGAGTCTCTCTCTCCCTCCCACCCCCCCCCTCTCTCTCTCTCTATTGAATTTCAAAAGAATAAATGTTTGTAGTTTGCTTTTAGCACGTAATAGATGATGAACTTGTGTTGGTTTTGACTAAAGACTGTTTAATGATGATAGCTTTTAGGACGGCAAAGCGAATGGTTTCGTTATTTTATCTGTAAACTTTGGAATCGATAAAAGCTGCATCCTAATGAATAAAGACTGTAAAAGTCACAATAAACTTTCCATTTTCTGGTAGGTTATCGGGGATAACTACAAATGACTCGGGTAAATTTCCGTCAGTTTTTCATTTACCCGAGCTCAGTTTAGTCATATGTTAATAACCTAAATATGATATAAAATCCTGATATGAAATTTTACAGAGGCAGCATTGGAGATATACTCAATTTTTTCGCAAGTGTTATTTTTCCAAATCGGGGAACAATGCGACATCGTCATTACATACGTGAATACATGACATCGCCAGTGATTATAAGGATATGGGTGTGTTGTTAGGCTTACCTGGATTAAGGCTATAAATAGTACCGGTAAGTCAAAGATTGTCTTACTAATCGTAAGCACCAGATATATGTTTTACGTCATAATCAGTATCTGATGAAAACGTTGGTGTATTTTAGGTGGGGGTGGTGATGGAAGTGGGGGGAGGGGGGAAGGATGGGGATGGGGAGGGATACTAGATAACTGACTATACGTATGCGTTATGTTATATATATGTTACCTGGTAATAGAAGGATGCCATTGTGTTACCTAGTTAAAGAAGTATACCATTGTGTTACCTGGTTATAGAAGAATATCATTGTGTTACCTGGTTATAAAAGTATACCATTGTGTTACCTGGTTATAGAAGGATGTCATTGTGTTACCTGGTTATAGAAGTATATCATTGTGTTACCTGGTTATAGAAGGATGTCATTGTGTTACCTGGTTATAGAAGTATACCATTGTGTTACCTGGTTATTGAAGTATATCATTGTGTTACCTGGTTATTGAAGTATACTATTGTGTTACCTGGTTATAGAAGTATACCATTGTTACCTAGTTATAGAAGTATACCATTGTGTTACCTGGTTATAGAAGTATACCATTGTGTTACCTGGTTATAGAAGGATGTCATTGTGTTACCTGGTTATAGAAGTATATCATTGTGTTACCTGGTTATAGAAGGATGTCATTGTGTTACCTGGTTATAGAAGTATACCATTGTGTTACCTGGTTATTGAAGTATATCATTGTGTTACCTGGTTATTGAAGTATACTATTGTGTTACCTGGTTATAGAAGTATACTATTGTGTTACCTAGTTATAGAAGTATACCATTGTGTTACCTGGTTATAGAAGTATACCATTGTGTTACCTGGTTATAGAAGAATATCATTGTGTTACCTGGTTATAAAAGTATACCATTGTGTTACCTGGTTATAGAAGGATGTCATTGTGTTACCTGGTTATAGAAGTATATCATTGTGTTACCTGGTTATAGAAGGATGTCATTGTGTTACCTGGTTATAGAAGTATACCATTGTGTTACCTGGTTATAGAAGTATACTATTGTGTTACCTGGTTATAGAAGTATACCATTGTTACCTAGTTATAGAAGTATACCATTGTGTTACCTGGTTATAGAAGTATACCATTGTGTTACCTGGTTATAGAAGTATACCATTGTGTTACCTGGTTATCGAAGTATACCATTGTTACCTGGTTATCGAAGTATACCATTGTGTTACCTGGTTATAGAAGTATACCATTGTGTTACCAAGTTACAGAAATATATCATTGTGTTACGTGGTTATAGAAGTATATCATTGTGTCACCTGGTTATAGAAGTATACTACTGTGTAACCTGATTATAGAAGTATACCATTGTGTTACTTGGTTATAGAAGTATATTATTGTGTTACCTGGTTATAGAAGTATACCATTGTGTTACTTGGTTATAGAAGTATACTATTGTGTTACCTGATTATAGAAGTATACCATTGTGTTACCTAGTTATAGAAGGATGCCATTGTGTTACCTGGTTATAGAAGTATACCATTGTGTTACCTGGTTATAGAAGTATACCATTGAGTAACCTGGTTATAGAAGTATACCTTTGTGTTACCTGGTATATCATTGTGTTACCTGGTTATTGAAGTATATCATTGTGTACCTGGTTATAGAAGGATGCCACTGTGTTACCTGCTTATAGAAGTATACTATTGTGTTACCTGGTTATAGAAGTATACAATTGTGTTACCTGGTTATAGAAGAATATCATTGTGTTATCTGGTTATTGAAGTGGGCAAGTAGCACTGTACCTCTTTTCAAGAATATGTTACTTTCACAAAATCTTAATTTAACGAAATAAGAAAGAAGTAAAACCCGTTTCATACACATTAATTTTATTACTTCATCTGATCCGAAGGGTCATGATAACCTATAGTCGTTGTGCTTCGTCCGTCGTCGTCCACCGTGCGTGTCATACACACGTTAGTCAGTACGAATGCTGACGTACAGTCCTGTTAACTAGACGTTAATCAGTACGAACGCTGACGTACAGTCCTGTTAACTAGACGTTAGTCATTATGAATGCTGACGTACAGTCCTGTTAACTAGACGTTAGTCAGTACGAACGCTGACGTACAGTCCTGTTAACTACACGTTAGTCAGCATGAATGCTGACGTACAGTCCTGTTAACTTCACGTTAGTCAGTACGAATGCTGACGTACAGTCCTGTTAACTAGACGTTAGTCAGTACGAATGCTGACGTACAGTCCTGTTAACTTCACGTTAGTCAGTACGAATGCTGACGTATAGTCCTGTTAACTTCACGTTAGTCAGTACGAACGCTGACGTACAGTCCTGTTAACTAGACGTTAATCAGTATGAACGCTGACGTACAGTCCTGTTAACTACACGTTAGTTAGTACGAACGCTGACGTACAGTCCTGTTAACTACACGTTAGTCAGTATGAACGCTGACGTACAGTCCTGTTAACTAGACGTTAATCAGTACGAACGCTGACGTACAGTCCTGTTAACTACACGTTAGTCAGTACGAACGCTGACGTACAGTCCTGTTAACTAGACGTTAGTCAGTACGAACGCTGACGTACAGTCCTGTTAACTAGACGTTAGTCAGTATAAATGCTGACGTACAGTCCTGTTACCTAGACGTTAGTCAGTACGAATGCTGACGTACAGTCCTGTTAACTAGACGTTAGTCAGTATGAATGCTGACGTACAGTCCTGTTAACTACACGTTAGTCAGTACGAACGCTGACGTACAGACCTGTTAACTAGACGTTAGTCAGCATGAACGCTGACGTACAGTCCTGAATACTACACGTTAGTCAGTACGAATGCTGACGTACAGTCCTGTTAACTAGACGTTAGTCAGTACGAACGCTGACGTACAGTCCTGTTAACTACACGTTAGTCAGTACGAACGCTGACGTACAGTCCTGTTAACTAGACGTTAGTCAGTATGAACGCTGACGTACAGTCCTGTTAACTAGACGTTAGTCAGTATGAATGCTGACGTACAGTCCTGTTAACTACACGTTAGTCAGTACGAATGCTGACGTACAGTCCTGTTAACTTCACGTTAGTCAGTACGAATGCTGACGTACAGTCCTGTTAACTACACGTTAGTCAGCATGAATGCTGACGTACAGTCCTGTTAACTAGATGTTAATCAGTATGAACGCTGACGTAGTCTTGTTAACTAGACGTTAGTCAGCATGAATGCTGACGTACAGTCCTGAATACTACACGTTAGTCAGTACGAACGCTGACGTACAGTCCTGTTAACTAGACGTTAGTCAGTACGAACAATGAATGTTGTGTTCACGAATCTCTAGCACTTGATGACGTGTTGTACATGTACTGTAGGTAATTCTTATAAAGACATCATACTTAATATGCAGATTCATGCAAATTAATCGAGTTCACACAGGTATCTTCATGTTAATTTATCATTTAGTGATCAAAACGGAAAACATGCCGGATGTGAGTGCTTCCGTCAAAACCACAAAAATTTACTGATAGAAAGGCCAAGGACGCGCGAGAAAATAGTGATACAAAGCTATCGTCTATGTTGTATGTATCGCCTATATGCTGTCTGTATCACCTATGTACTGTCTGTATCGCCTTTATACTGTCTGTATCGCCTATATACTGTCTGTATCGCCTAACACAGGACCCAGGAGTCCTCGTTCTGACAGATAACATAGCACCAAGCAGTTCTCGTTCTGTCAGTTAACACAGGACCTAGCAGTTCTCGTTCTGTCAGTTAACACAGGACCTTGCAGTTCTCGTTCTGTCAGTTAACACAGGACCTAGCAGTTCTCGTTCTGTCAGTTAACACAGCACCAAGCAGTCCTCGTTCTGTCAGTTAACACAGGACCCAGCAGTCCTCGTTCTGTCAGTTAACACAGGACCCAGGAGTCCTCGTTCTGTCAGATAACATAGCACCAAGCAGTTCTCGTTCTGTCAGTTAACACAGGACCTAGCAGTTCTCGTTCTGCCAGTTAACACAGGACCTTGCAGTTCTCGTTCTGTCAGTTAACACAGGACCTAGCAGTTCTCGTTCTGTCAGTTAACACAGCACCAAGCAGTCCTCGTTATGTCAGTTAACACAGGACCCAGCAGTCCTCGTTCTGTCAGATAACACAGCACCAAGCAGTTCTCATTCTGTCAATAGTCAGAGAAATTAAATATGTCATCCATCGCCGAGTTTCGTATCTCGTGGGCTTTGATCATGTCCATCAGCTGGTCAATGCGTGTGATCACCTCTTCAAGCACTCTAAGGTCGCGGTTAGGTTTATCGTTCAAGTCATCATCATCATCATCTTTTGTTTGACGACCAAAATAGGCTTTGTGAAGTTTAACCAACCACCGACATTCATCCCGAATACTGTTACCACAAATACACTCCAGATCGGAAACAATACTTTCGGCGCGATCGAAGTCGTGTAACAGTTTGAAATGTTGTATCCGGAAGTGAAGCAATGCTTCCTTGTGAGTGACTTTAACTGTTCCGGCCTTCCGACGGATGAGCGCAGCCATGATGTCATCAACTATGGGCAGGTCTGTATCACAGTATGTAAGGTAGCCAGTGCTATCCTTCATGATATCGTCCCAATCTTCTGGGGTGGAGTCATAAAAACGGTTGCTTTCCTCAAATGATTCACTGGCTTCTAGAGCCAGGGAGAAGATATGATCAGCATTGTCATGCTCCATTTTCAATTTTTCTTTCACCTTTCCAAACATTTCGTTGGCTTTGTCGTCCATACCAACCTTTGCATATCTTTTGGCCAAATTAATTCGCTCAATGAAATAATAATCTAAATTTCTTATTTCTTCAGGAAATGTATCAGACTCTGGGTCTAATTGGAAATCGCCCTCCCCAGCAATTGAGGTGGATTTCGGTGATTCGTCGTTCATTGGTGTCCAAGACGATGTTGTTTCCTCCCTCACGTGACGATCACGATCATAAATCACCTCAATATGTCCGTCCTGGTCAGTATCTACACTGCTGTCTCTTTCTACAGGACCATCCCTAGACGCCGTGTCGACCGGACTATCAGACATGTCTTCACTAAGCTCTAACGTAGATGATTGGGGTATATCCTCTTCGTCCTCGATATTGTTTGGTCCCTGTGTGTTAATCTCAGTTACAACAGCCTCATCAATGTTGGTTCCAACCGGATGTTCACGTTCGTCCCTGCCATATTTGGGTGTGTATTCTTGCACGTCATCACACACGCCATTGGGAAGAAGGTACGCGGACAGAAAAGAGATAAGTTTACTGACTTCATCCGATTCTCCCAGACGCATGAAGAAATTGAGGCTGTCTAGGTACACAGATGTGTCTGGTACAAGCGTGTCCATGGCACGTCGGTACATTTCTCTCGTATTGGCTACAGCTGTAGAATTTTGGTCAGGGGTAAGAAAGGCCCTGATGAAAAGCACTCGCCCGTATAAGAGGAGGTAATACGATCGGCGTTTGTCTACAACACTTTGGAATCCCTGTTTATCTGTACCTAGATACTGTTCAAGTAACTGCAGGCTAACCAGAGCAGAATCTGTATCCCCTGACAAGTAACCACATACGGCGGCAGTCAGGTGTAAGTCCATCAGCTTCTCTTCAGACAATTCTAACTTTACTCTATGGCTGAACTTCACTGCGTCTTGGACATACTTATACGCCAATGGTAAATTTCTATTGTGAAGATGTCCCTTAGCTAGGGCAACAAGTGTATCGACAAAGATCACCTTGCTCCGAGGTCCCGACGACTTCATCTCGTTTACCAGGGGAGCGAACACACGCTGACGGATACCTTGGCATAACGACAAATGCCTGCTCTGTTTGAGTATTGTGTCGAGAGGATTGATCCGGAGTTCATACAAAGGTATCAGAACTGTCTCTATGTGCTCATTTATTGGTCGTCTTCGGCCATTCACTTCGACGAAATCTTGCTCAAATTTCGATAGAAGATTCATGATCGGTAGGAAATAATGAGACAGTCTGTGTTCGCAAATACAGGTTATGTACTGGTCAACAACAGTGAAAAGCTGAGATGCAAGGTCCTTGCTTCTCCAACGTTCCCCTGGTGTATTCTCGATCAGTCGATACACCAAGTTCAGCATATGATAGGAACCTCCTATATCAAAGGCTTTTAGTAAATGAACAAGCTCGCGCTGAACACGTGTGAATGAACGTGATAACATCATTTCTGCGCGCGAGAAGGATATCCGCCATTGAAAGTCCTCCATGTCACTTCCATAGTGACCTATCGGTACTATCATACACCCTACATCGTTCTGGATTTCTCGTTTCATCGCTTCACTCGGCCACCCATATTTGTTATCACGTGATAGCCATTCACGTGCTTGCGCGGGCCACCCTGGATACGGCAAAGCGATCACGATATCCGTGTGTAGAGTGGTAGTCATTGGACCTCTTCTGTCTGTGAGAAAAGCCGTCACAGCAGGTCCTAGAGTTTGAACGAAGGACAAGACTGGGCCGTAACCAGAATCGTCAAATAAGTTCTGTAGAAAAGACGTTCCTGTGTATCGTTGTTTGATCAAACTTTTGGCGTCATGCCAATATTCGAATCGTGCATTCATGATTGCAGAACTAGAAACGTATCGCTGTTGTAAAGAGACTTGTGAAATAGAGCGTGGGCGACATTTCCTGAGAAGAACATACCCAGCCTGATCCGAAGGTTCTACGTTTAGGTAGGACGTGTCTTCCCCACACGTCACATTTATCCGGTTGTCACTCGGACAGAAATCATTGTTGCGCTCCTTCACAGGCTCTTGACCACTGAAGAACTCAGTGTTTTCAGCTTTGTCGTATTCACATTGTGTTTTTATATCATATTTCTTTAGAATGGTCACAATGTCGAAATCGCGTAATTCGGTAAGTCGATTTGAATTCAGAAAGAATCCATGAGCACAACTCCCGCCAAGGTAGACACTTGATCTTCCAACATCGTAAAGTTTTAGTGGGTAGCGTGTTAATAACAAGTCAGAAATCTGTAGCAAGAAGTGTTGTAGTTCGAACCCGTAGTATAACAAAAAGACCACAGCGGAAAGTGGAACACCTGACAAAGTATCTACAGAGTTATCCGACATCACCCAGTCAACTGTTTCCTCATCCATCCTGACAGAGGATGCTGGACATGCGTTGAAGGAATACTTCTACGTCATATCCGCTCCTTGATAGCTGTTAATATCTGAAACAAAACAAAATGTGTAAACAGATTTCGATAGTTTTAAACATACCAGTTTCAATAAAATTGAAGAAAACATTTTGATATTCAGGATGAAAACTGCTCTTCTAATACAAACGACCAATATCCATGAGTTACTATGTATACGGAAAGTGTCCCAGTTACACTCAATTAGGTGATATGTGCGTCTGGACTTCATTGGGCGAGAAATCTGATACATATGGCATATCGAAGTCTACCCGTTAGTTTGGTCTTTGGGAGATTGAAAACGTGAAACAGAAGAAAAATAGTTCTTATCACACAACCAGTAGATGATCAGTGTGACGTTTCGATGACTACACTGTCACCTTCATCTTATAATACACGGCCACCTTCATCTTATAATACACGGTCACCTTCATCTTATAACGCAACCAGTAGAAGATTAGAGTGTGACGTTTCGATGACTACACGGTCACCTTCATCTTATAACACAACCAGTAGAAGATTAGAGTGTGACGTTTTGATGACTACACGGTCACCTTCATCTTATAACACAACCAGTAGAAGATTAGAGTGTGACGATGACTACACGGTCACCTTCATCTTATAATACACGGTCACCTTCATCTTATAATACACGGTCACCTTCATCTTATAATACACGGTCACCTTCATCTTATAATACACGGTCACCTTCATCTTATAACACAACCAGTAGAAGATTAGAGTGTGACGTTTCGATGACTACACTGTAACTTTCATTTTATAACACAACCAGTAGAAAATTAGAGTGTGACGTTCCGATGACTGCACGGTCACTTTCATCTCATAACACAACCAGTAGAAGGTTAGTGTGTGATATTTCAATGACTACACGGTCACCTTCATCTTATAACACAACCAGTAGAAGAGTAAAAGATCAGTGTGACGTTTCGATGACTACACGGTCACTTTCACCTTTGTCGGATGAAGGTGACCGGTTAGTCTTCGTAACAAATGATACTACTTCCTTAATAAGTGTAAACCGTTTTGGGCAATTGTCTTGAACGGTTGGAGGGCATCGGACCAGGAAAAAAAGTGAAATTTGTGCTGAGGGTTACCGGTCTCCATGGTAACAGAAAATGTATGAATAAAGTCTTTGACAACATATCTAGACTATAACAAGAGGCCCAGGGGCCTTAACGGTCATCTGACTATAAAAACTTTCAGCAAGGAGAAGATTTATTATTTCTGTTTTGAATGAAATCTTACTAAGAAGCTGTTTCCCATGATGTAGATGGTAGTTTTGGTGAGGAGTAGGTAACTGTAACAAGTGTTACCTATTTTTGACAGTAAAGTTGGAGCTCAATTCCACTGGTGAAATTTGAGAAGTTTGAAGTAGGTGTTGCACAGGAAAAGCATGATTGCACAATCATGTTACAAAATGGCATCCCTGGCGATCATGTCACAGTTTTGACAAGATTGAAAATAAACAACACTTTGTTGACTAGCTTTCCTTAACATTCCCACCATTTTTTAACTCAATGGCACCATTGGAAATGGAGAAGTTTAAGATATGTTTATCAAGATGGCGGCCATCTTAGATTTCAGACAAACCCGGAAAGTATGACCACTTGGTCAGGACCACCTCAGGATCATTCCAGGCATGTGTGAGCTCAATCCCACTGGTGGAAATTGTGAAGAAGTTTGAGATGTCAAAAGTTTACGCACGGCGCGGACGACGACGAACGAAGCTCGATGGCTATAGAGCGTCATGACCCTTCGGGTCAGATGACCTGGAAATTGATTTAAAACATCGTCAAGATAAATTTTCCAGAGTTACACATATATTGCAGAGAGGGCTATCTATTATGTTTGCTTTAAATAAGAAATTATTTTGTAGTCAAAATATGATGAAAGACAATATATAGTTTGAGTCGGATTTGTAAAGGCGGTGCTCACATGTTTAACCAGTTTTCATTATTAAAATCAGAATGCTCTCACCCACCGTTTTCTTTTCTCTTTGCTATTGAGATTTTTCGTTCTGTTTAACAAATCATGAAAGACTTTAGAACCTTCAGTTTTTTAAGCAATGTTGACTCGTCTTGGTAGCAAAAAGAGGATAAAGTTGTTAATACTGTTGAGACTATTCTATTATACATTCTAATTCAGAAAATCAATATAAATATTAAATACATATATCTAAATGAGTTTGTCATGACAAATTCTTATTTAAGTCGCCAAAATTACATAAACTGCCCTTTTCCGGTAAAAAAAAAAAGAAAAAAAAAACTTGATCATAATGAATTTCAAACATTTGTCGAAAGTACAACCGCATCTTGCAGTTTTGATATAGTTAGGAGACGGGGCTGGTCTTTCGCCAAATCGGGACCTTTCGGCTGCTTCCGTGTAAGACACGATGCAATTCTCGGAAAGTGACGAAAGTTCCCAAAACTTAAAATTCTAGGTCACCTGAAAGATGTAGATCTATATAAAAGACTATACCATTTTAATATTTTGTGATAATATACCCATTTTAGATTGTTAGCGTTTGTCTTTTACCTTTCATTTTGTTTAATGAAATTTCCTTTTGGATCGCTGTGTGTTTTTACCGGTTGATGGCCCTAATGACCTGTTATGTGTTGACGGGCCGTTAAGAATGTAATAATAATAGCAATAATAAAACGGAAATCAAGTACATAGGAGAACAAACGTGCTCTAATCTTGAATGGTTAAAATTTTCAACCAGATATTTGTCATTTGCTTTTCTAACTATTAACGTGTATGTTTGTTAAATTAGTTTGAATTATTTAAGACGTTTTGTGTGATTTCCTTTCAACATGAAAGCCTAAAAAGATATTTTGTCTGTCAAAATAATTTTTAATCCATTCAACGGGTCGGCAGTTTTCATTGCGTGCTGCGGTAAGTGTAGTGTGGGTAATGAAGTTCCAGCCACACTTCCGTTTAAAGTTGATCGTATGGGCAGAATTATCACGTGCAATATCATAAAGCCATAGATTGCTCCTATCAACAAAGGTTCCTTAACATAAAATGTTTTTCTGAGATATAACAGTAGCGGTTCTTTTCTGTGATATGTTCGTGTATGAACAAGATGACAGTGTCTCACAAATACTGATGGTTAAGGTTTGTTTCTTTGTCAGGATTTGCAGCATTAGACAGAGGTAACTCTGGCGGAACATGTGACACCACACAAACTTAAAGCTGTACACTCTAGCGTGAACATGTGACACCACACAGACTTAAAGCTGTACACTCTAGCCTGAACATGTGACACCACACACACTTAAAGCTGTACACTCTAGCCAGAACATGTGACACCACACAGACTTAAAGCTGTACACTCTAGCCTGAACATGTGACACCACACACACTTAAAGCTGTACACTCTAGCCAGAACATGTGACATAACACAGACTTAAAGCTGTACACTCTAGCCAGAACATGTGACACCACACAGACTTAAAGCTGTACACTCTAGCCTGACCATGTGACACCACACAGACTTAAAGCTGTACACTCTAGCCTGAACATGTGACACCACACACACTTAAAGCTGTACACTCTAGCCAGAACATGTGACACCACACAGACTTAAAGCTGTATGTGACACCACACAGACTTAAATCTGTACACTCTAGCCTGAACATGTGACACCACACACACTTAAAGCTGTACACTCTAGCCAGAACATGTGACATAACACAGACTTAAAGCTGTACACTCTAGCCAGAACATGTGACACCACACAGACTTAAATGTGACACCACACAGACTTAAAGCTGTACACTCTAGCCAGGACATTTGACACCACACAGACTTAAAGCTGTACACTCTAGCCAGAACATGTGACACCACACAGACTTAAAGCTGTACACTCTAGCCAGGACATTTGACACCACACAGACTTAAAGCTGTACACTCTAGCCAGAACATGTGACACCACACACACTTAAAGCTGTACACTCTAGCCAGAACATGTGACACCACACAGACTTAAAGCTGTACACTCTAGCCTGACCATGTGACACCACACAGACTTAAAGCTGTACACTCTAGCCAGAACATGTGACACCACACAGACTTAAAGCTGTCACACTCTAGCCAGAACATGTGACACCACACACACTTAAAGCTGTACACTCTAGCCAGAACATGTGACACCACACAGACTTAAAGCTGTACACTCTAGCCAGAACATGTGACACCACACACACTTAAAGCTGTACACTCTAGCCAGAACATGTGACACCACACACACTTAAAGCTGTACACTCTAGCCTGAACATGTGACACCACACAGACTTAAAGCTGTACACTCTAGCCTGAACATGTGACACCACACAGACTTAAAGCTGTACACTCTAGCCAGAACATGTGACACCACACACACTTAAAGCTGTACACTCTAGCCTGACCATGTGACACCACACAGACTTAAAGCTGTACACTCTAGCCTGAACATGTGACACCACACAGACTTAAAGCTGTACACTCTAGCCTGACCATGTGACACCACACACACTTAAAGATGACCACTCTAGCCAGAACATGTGACACCACACAGACGTAAAGCTGTACACTCTAGCCTGACCATGTGACACCACACACACTTAAAGATGACCACTCTAGCCAGAACATGTGACACCACACAGACGTAAAGCTGTACATTCTAGCCAGGACATTTGACACCACACAGACTCAAAGCTGTACACTCTAGCCAGAACATGTGACACCACACACACTTAAAGCTGTACACTCTAGCCAGAACATGTGACACCACACAGACTTAAAGCTGTACACTCTAGCCAGAACATGTGACACCACACACACTTAAAGATGACCACTCTAGTCTGAACATGTGACACCACACAGAACATGTGACACCACACAGACTTAAAGCTGTACACTCTAGCCAGAACATGTGACACCACACAGACTTAAAGCTGTACACTCTTACCTGACCATGTGACACCACACACACTTAAAGATGACCACTCTAGTCTGAACATGTGACACCACACAGACTTAAAGCTGTACACTCTAGCCAGAACATGTGACACCACACAGACTTAAAGCTGTACACTCTAGCCTGACCATGTGACACCACACACACTTAAAGCTGTACACTCTAGCCTGACCATGTGACACCACACAGACTTAAAACTGTACACTCTAGCCTGACCATGTGACACCACACACACTTAAAGCTGTACACTTTAACCTGACCATGTGACACCACACACACTTAAAGCTGTACATTCCAGTCTGAACATGTGACACCACACACACTTAAAGCTGTACACTCTAGCCAGAACATGTGACACCACACACACTTAAAGCTGTACACTCTAGCCTGAACATGTGACACCACACACACTTAAAGCTGTACACTCTAGTCTGAACATGTGACACCACACACACTTAAAGCTGTACACTCTAGCCAGAACATGTGACACCACACAGACTTAAAGCTGTACACTCTAGTGACACCACACAGAACATGTGACACCACACACACTTAAAGCTGTACACTCTAGCCAGAACATGTGACACCACACAGACTTAAAGCTGTACACTCTAGCCAGAACATGTGACACCACACACACTTAAAGATGACCACTCTAGCCAGAACATGTGACACCACACAGACTTAAAGCTGTACATTCCAGTCTGAACATGTGACACCACACAGACTTAAAGCTGTACACTCTAGTCTGAACATGTGACACCACACAGACTTAAAGCTGTACACTCTAGCCAGAACATGTGACACCACACACACTTAAAGATGACCACTCTAGTCTGACCATGTGACACCAAACACACTTAAAGCTGTACACTCTAGCCAGAACATGTGACACCACACACACTTAAAGCTGTACACTCTAGCCAGAACATGTGACACCACACACACTTAAAGCTGACACCACACACACTCTGTACACTCTAGCCAGTCTGAACATGTGACACCACACACACTTAAAGCTGTACACTCTAGCCTGAACATGTGACACCACACACACTTAAAGCTGTACACTCTAGCCAGAACATGTGACACCACACAGACTTAAAGCTGTACACTCTAGCCTGAACATGTGACACCACACAGACTTAAAGCTGTACACTCTAGCCTGAACATGTGACACCACACACACTTAAAGCTGTACACTCTAGCCAGAACATGTGACACCACACAGACTTAAAGCTGTACACTCTAGCCAGAACATGTGACACCACACAGACTTAAAGCTGTACACTCTAGTCTGAACATGTGACACCACACAGACTTTACGCTGTACACTGACACCACACACACTTAAAGCTGTCACACTCTAGCCTGAACATGTGACACCACACACACTTAAAGCTGTCACACTCTACCCTGAACATGTGACCACAGGTATGCAGGGTGAGTTTGACCATTCTCCTTTTGCGATATCTAAGCTGTTCTATATTTATGCGGTTACCTAGGCCGATAAGCGCCAACCAATCACTTCCGTGCTTTTCAATATTGACGCATACGGTATCCGATTGCTCCAATTTGAAGACATGTAAACGAGAGTTAAAATTGTCAGAGATTCTACTTTCAATACACATGCGCATTAGCAGTCCTGTCATACTATGGTAATACTCCAACAACGTTATGGGTTTTACACGGCGAGAAACTTATAACAGGCAGTCGGCACAATAATGTCAGATAATAAAACAGGCTCTTATGTTATAGAAATAACAATAGTAAGCACTATAGATGTTGATCGAACTCGACGTAAAATCACAATCATTGTTCGAGTAAACATCAAGCTCTTGACGGATATATAGCAAAGCATTGTATACAAGTGTTGTTACTAAACCTAGCCCAGAGTTTTCACTAGGTATTTGCAGACTTTCTGATCTGCTGCGCCGTTGACATCTATATAATGTATGTTAGAAAGAATCCTACCTGTTGGTAAACATGACATGGAGGACCTCGATGACCTTATAGTCGACCGGAAAGAGAATCACTAATAGTGCCAGTACACACATACACACATGCGTAATAAGATGTATACGTGTCTATAAATAAATACACTCGCGTTGTCATTCGACCAGAACGATGTAGAAGATGACTGCGTTAACATTGAACAAATAGCTTAACCTACCAGCTGATCACAAAAGGTGTCGGGTTGGAATTTGGGGGTAGGAGAGGAGATTGGGAATAAAAACAGACTACCAGAATGTCTGTGTCAGCTTCTAATTATTGAGTAAGGATGTAAACATATCATCTTTCACAAGTACATTTGAATGAAATGAAATTCGAGTACATTTATCCTCAATGACGAATGACACCAAGGACGTACAAATCTCCGCGATGAGACGTCTAAAAAATCTCCACATTCATGACGTCAGCGGACAGATGGGTGCGGCAACTATTGATATTATTACATACACTAACAAGGTTTGTTAGCCATTGAAAGTAATATGTCTTTCTGTTGATGTTCTAGTTGTCATACTTTACATCATTGTATCGTGTTGTTGTACTAGTTGTCATACTGTACATCATCGTGTTGATGTACTAGTTGTCATACTGTACATCATTGTATCGTGTTGATGTACTAGTTGTCATACTGTACATCATTGTATCGTGTTGATGTTCTAGTTGTCATACTGTACATCATTGTATCGTGTTGATGTACTAGTTGTCATACTGTACATCATTGTATCGTGTTGATGTTCTAGTTGTCATACTTTACATCATTGTATCGTGTTGATGTTCTAGTTGTCATACTGTACATCATTGTATCGTGTTGTTGTTCTAGTTGTCATACTTTACATCATTGTATCGTGTTGATGTTCTAGTTGTCATACTGTACATCATTGTATCGTGTTGATGTTCTAGTTGTCATACTTTACGTCATTGTATCGTGTTGATGTTCTAGTTGTCATGCTGTACATCATTGTATCGTGTTGATGTTCTAGTTGTCATACTTCACATCATCGTGTTGATGTACTAGTTGTCATACTGTACATCATTGTATCGTGTTGATGTTCTAGTTGTCATGCTGTACATCATTGTATCGTGTTGATGTTCTAGTTATACTGTACATCATTGTATCGTGTTGATGTTCTAGTTGTCATACTTTACGTCATTGTATCGTGTTGATGTTCTAGTTGTCATACTGTACATCATTGTATCGTGTTGATGTACTAGTTGTCATACTTCACATCATCGTGTTGATGTACTAGTTGTCATACTTTACATCATTGTATCGTGTTGATGTTCTAGTTGTCATACTTTACATCATTGTATCGTGTTGATGTTCTAGTTGTCATACTTTACATCATTGTATCGTGTTGATGTTCTAGTTGTTATACTGTACATCATTGTATCGTGTTGATGTTCTAGTTGTCATACTTTACATCATTGTATCGTGTTGTTGTTCTAGTTGTCATACTTTACATCATTGTATCGTGTTGATGTTCTAGTTGTCATACTTTACATCATTGTATCGTGTTGATGTTCTAGTTGTTATACTGTACATCATTGTATCGTGTTGATGTTCTAGTTGTCATACTTTACATCATTGTATCGTGTTGTTGTTCTAGTTGTCATACTTTACATCATTGTATCGTGTTGATGTTCTAGTTGTCATACTTTACATCATTGTATCGTGTTGATGTTCTAGTTGTTATACTGTACATCATTGTATCGTGTTGATGTTCTAGTTGTCATACTGTACATCATTGTATCGTGTTGATGTTCTAGTTGTCATACTGTACATCATTGTATCGTGTTGATGTTTTAGTTGTCATACTTCACATCATCGTGTTGATGTACTAGTTGTCATACTGTACATCATTGTATCGTGTTGATGTTCTAGTTGTCATGCTGTACATCATTGTATCGTGTTGATGTTCTAGTTGTCATACTGTACATCATTGTATCGTGTTGATGTTTTAGTTGTCATACTGTACATCATTGTATCGTGTTGATGTTCTAGTTGTCATACTGTACATCATAATGTTGTTGTACTAGTTGTCATACTGTACATCATTGTATCGTGTTGATGTTCTAGTTGTCATACTTTACATCATTGTATCGTGTTGATGTTCTAGTTGTCATACTTTACATCATTGTATCGTGTTGATGTTCTAGTTGTCATACTGTACATCATCATGTTGTTGTACTAGTTGTCATACTTTACATCATCATGTTGTTGTACTAGTTGTCATACTGTACATCATTGTATCGTGTTGATGTTCTAGTTGTCATACTGTACATCATAATGTTGTTGTACTAGTTGTCATACTGTGCATCATAATGTTGTTGTACTAGTTGTCATACTGTACATCATTGTATCGTGTTGATGTTCTAGTTGTCATACTGTACATCATTGTATCGTGTTGATGTTCTAGTTGTCATACTTTACATCATTGTATCATGTTGATGTTCTAGTTGTCATACTTTACATCATCATGTTGTTGTACTAGTTGTCATACTTTACATCATCATGTTGTTGTACTAGTTGTCATACTGTACATCATTGTATCGTGTTGATGTTCTAGTTGTCATACTTTACATCATTGTATCGTGTTGATGTTCTAGTTGTCATACTGTACATCATTGTATCGTGTTGATGTTCTAGTTGTCATACTGTACATCATTGTATCGTGTTGATGTTCTAGTTGTCATACTTTACATCATTGTATCGTGTTGTTGTTCTAGTTGTCATACTTTACATCATTGTATCGTGTTGATGTTCTAGTTGTCATACTGTACATCATCATGTTGATGTTCTAGTTGTCATACTTTACATCATTGTATCGTGTTGTTGTTCTAGTTGTCATACTTTACATCATTGTATCGTGTTGATGTTCTAGTTGTCATACTGTACATCATAATGTTGTTGTACTAGTTGTCATACTGTACATCATAATGTTGTTGTACTAGTTGTCATACTTTACATCATTGTATCGTGTTGATGTTCTAGTTGTCATACTGTACATCATTGTATCGTGTTGATGTTCTAGTTGTCATACTTTACATCATTGTATCGTGTTGATGTTCTAGTTGTCATGCTGTACATCATTGTATCGTGTTGATGTTCTAGTTGTCATGCTGTACATCATTGTATCGTGTTGATGTTCTAGTTGCCATACTGTACATCATTATATCGTGTTGATGTTCTAGTTGTCATACTGTACATCATTGTATCGTGTTGATGTTCTAGTTGCCATACTGTACATCATTGTATCGTGTTGATGTTCTAGTTGTCATACTTTACATCATTGTATCGTGTTGTTGTACTAGTTATCATACTGTACATCATCATGTTGTTGTACTAGTTGTCATACTTCACATCATCGTGTTGATGTACTAGTTGTCATGCTGTACATCATTGTATCGTGTTGATGTTCTAGTTGTCATACTGTACATCATTGTATCGTGTTGATGTACTAGTTGTCATACTGTACATCATTATATCGTGTTGTTGTACTAGTTATCATACTGTACATCATCATGTTGTTGTACTAGTTGTCATACTGTACATCATCGTGTTGATGTACTAGTTGTCATGCTGTACATCATCGTGTTGATGTACTAGTTGTCATACTGTACATCATTATATCATGTTGTTGTACTAGTTATCATACTGTACATCATCATGTTGTTGTACTAGTTGTCATACTGTACATCATCGTGTTGATGTACTCGTTGTCATGCTGTACATCATCGTGTTGATGTACTAGTTGTCATGCTGTACATCATCGTGTTGATGTACTAGTTGTCATACTGTACATCATAATGTTGATATACTAGTTGTCATCTAATCTGCAAAAAAGTTCATTTACAAGGGTAGGAAAACTTAGTGAACAATCTTGTGATTTAGTACAATATACGTTATAAAATCTGATCGGTTTTAATCACACATAACATGTATCGTGTCGGTTCAATAAAAGGGTGTGGTCCGTACACCTCTTGCACGTCAATGACGGATCAGACAACGACAGTGTTTCAACAACAACTTGCCGCGGGCCTAAATCACAAAGAATACGGTGATATCAATAGGTTTAATTGGTGCATGAAGATGTTTACAATGCCAATATTGAGAACTGCGCAATACAAACAAAAACTAACCACTCTCTTAACCTCCTGTAAATAGAAAAGTGAAAATCATTAAGTATTGGTTAAAACTTAAAGTAACAAAAAATTGTATATTGGCCTCGTGTTTAGAGCAACGAATGATGATGAATGATGAATGGTTAGATAATATAAAACATGAACTAGATAAACTTGGTTTAACTTACATTTGGAACAGCGAATCTATAAATAACAATAAGTATAACACTATTGAACAAAGACTTAAAGATTGTTATGTACAGGAACTGAGAGAAAGAATTGATAACTCTAGAGGTTGTTTATACAAACATATGGTTGATCATTTCTGCATGCAATATTACATTTTTAACCTATTGACGATGTGTACAAAAAGTGTATAACTAGAATCAGGTTGTCTTTACATCAGCTAAAAATTGAATATGTTGAATATGGTCGTTTTCATAACACTGAAAGAAGTAGAAGAATGTGTGAATGTTGCCAGAATGATGAAATTGAAGATGAGTTCCATTTTATTTTACAGTGTCCAGTTTATTCTGAAATCAGAAAAAATATGTAAAAAAGTATTATTATAAGTCACCAAGCATTTTAAAGTTAATTAATAAGTACAACTATTAAGTGTAGAAAATGTAAAGCAATTGACTAACTTAGGAAAATATATACATTCTGCGCTGGAAAAGAGAAAAGAACTACTAAACTAGTTCATACAGTATATTATTATATTATATATGGATACATCCGATATATTTTTGTTTTCTGTATACTTTGTACATGTACGTGGGTCACTCTATATAGAACCGTACTGTTGTATAAACTCACTCTGTATAGAACCGTACTGTTGTATAAACTCACTCTATATAGAACCGTACTGTTGTATAAACTCACTCTATATAGAACCGTACTGTTGTATAAACTCACTCTATAT